TGCTGAGACACTGAGTTCCCTGTTATGTCTTCTCTGACAGAAGCATGCTCCACAGGTGGAGTCTGGGAATCATTCAGGTTAAGATGTTTTGGGAACTGCCCTCTTGTAGAGCATAGGAACCTCTTCTGGAGTCACAAAACTGGGAGATTAAAAAGTCTCAAAAACAGTGGGAGTGTGTTTATGTATTTAAGGGATCATCCCAGAGGCATTGTAGCCCTATGCTCTGGACCTCGGGTGCTGAATGGAGCTGATGGTCACCATCAGTGCTGACAGTCCAGCTGGTAGATGGATTTTGTGTGTAAGAAATGATTGTGTAGCCCTCACCGGTTTGGCTCAGTGGATAGAGCATCGGCCTGCAGACTAAAAGGTCCCAGGTTTGATCTGGTCAAAGGCATGTACCTTGGTTGCGGACACATCCCCAGCAGGAGGCAGCTGATCGATGTTTCTCTCTCATCGATGTTTCTGACTCTATCCCTCTCCCTTCCTTTCTGTAAAAAATCAATAAAATATATTTTTAAAAAAGGAAAAGAAATGATTGTGTAAACACTGCACTATCAGAATACATCTCAGAGGGCAGGGCTAACCTGGACCTTGGGTCTTCTAACCTCTGAGCTCTCAAGGGCCTGGGGTTCTGGGGCAGCAAAGAAAGGGTAGATTTTCTCCTCCTTTTTTCTCAGAGAAGGAGAAAAGAGAGATTGGGTTTGTCTCTGTGGGAAAGACCAAACAGGAGCCAAGATTCGTGGAAGAGCAGTGGTATCATAAACTGTTGGGGCTAGGATGGTGCCAAGAGGGCATGACACTGTTCTGAGCTTTTTGAGTTCTAGAGCCAGTGATGACAGGTGGCAGGGAAGATGGAGAGAATGTATTGTCCCTGATAGGACTTGGTGTAGCTATTGATGGAGGGGTGGAGACAGGGGTAACCTTGGGATTACAGGCCTGAGCAGCTGGCAGGGTGTGAAGCTGGGAAAGATGTGATGGATAGTAGGAAGTGCTCAATGGGTAGCATCAAATCTAGGTCTGAATCCTGGCAGGAGGCTGAAACTTCAGTTTCAGGGGTTGCTGACACCCATAGAGAGGGCCTAATGGAAACCAGAGCGTCTCTGGCAGGTCATGACATTCAGAATAACCAGGTGCCTTGAGCTCCTTGAATTAGATGGCCCCTGAATCTTCTCAGTGGCCTTTAAGTTGAAATCTATGCTTAGTTAATTTTTTATCCCAGTGCTTGACAGGAAAGGTCTGATTTATTTGAGTTCCCAAGCAGTGGGAGCTGTAGCCACCTGTGCTGGCCAGGACTGCTGGCACAAGATTTGGAATGGGGAGGCCTATGGACGGTAGGGTGCCCCCCTCACTGAAAATGTCCAGTTAAGACTGCTTGGCCTCAGCTGTCCCCAGTATTGTTGCTTGGGAGAAAGCTCTTGCCTGCAGGCATCCCCATGGTGGAATAGGTGTCTCTGAGTTGGACATGCCCTGGGAAAGGCTGCTGCCCTGCCTCGGTAACTCTCCTGACTTAGACATCTTGTTTTCTATCCCAGGACATCCTCTTTGACGCGAACACTCACAAAGTGAAGAAGTTTGTCCTTCACACCAATTATCCTGGGCATTATAATTTCAATATGTAAGTATACCTGTACCTGCCCCTCTGAGCAGTGGGCTTTGGACTAAAAATCCCCAGGAAAGAGAGCTTATGGCTTTAGAGTTCACTAATTTATCTACACCTGAATTCTTGCTGGTTAATGGGATGTGAACATTTTCTGAGTGTTTATTCTGTTCCTGGTATAATGTCTAATAACTTACATCTCTCCATCTGTACCCAGTTTACAAATAGGGAAATAAATTCAGAAAGCTTGGTGTCTCATCCAAGGTGGTAGTCTTCAGACCCCAGAGCTATACCTTTTCTGTTGAACTCTAATTCCCTAAGCTGGCCTCCCCCAGTGAATTCTGAGTCAGGCCCAGTGCCAGGCTTAGGATAGTTGTGCTTAATTCTGTTTTTCCTGGAGTGCAAGGTTAAGATGTGGGGGTGGTTAGGTCTCTCAGGGGGCCCAACCTTTACACATCTTCCTTTTCTCTCTTAGTTATCACCGTTGTGAGTTCAAGATCCCAATAGCCATAAAGAAAGGTGAGTAGTGAGTGTCCTTGGGATAAGAAAAGACTTTTGAGGTCAGTAACTCATGATGAGAAGGGACAAGTGATCCAAGTAGAGAGGATGGTAGCAGGTGGGTTAATGTAGTCTTGGGCTACCTGATCCTGCCCATAGCCTTGACTCCTCTGGGCTAAGCTCTCTGTTTGGGGCAGAGTGCTAGGGGAGGCTAAGTGGTTGGTCTGTAGTCTCGTGGAGGCCTTCCAGGTCTTTTCCTGTAACTGGAGTGCTGGTCTCTAGAAGGGAGACTTTCTTAGCTACAGATGATCATACAAGTGGTCCCAGCCCAGCCTTGTGATTGTTGTCCACTGCTGGTTGGTGTAACTCACACCTGACTGACCTCCCTTCAACCCTCCATTTTCTTCCATTCAGGAATAAAACAGTCTGTGTCTCCTCCCTCCATACTCCAGCCCCAGTGCAAAGGGTGGCCAGATCTGGATTCTGCCTAGGGCTGGGGTCACAAGTGGGCTGGGCCAGCTGCCAACCACTCTGTATTCTCTTTTCAGAAAATGCAGATGGTCAGACAGAAACATGCACAACCTATAGCAAGGTGAGCTCCTATTTTCCCGCCTGATGCAGCCTGAAAATGAGGTGGTCATGTACGTGCTAGCAGTCGGGAGCCCATGTTATCTGAGCCTGCCATTGGTCACAGGTGTGGTCAGGCCCTTCTAACCCCCTGCCGCCTCCATCCTTCTTGCAGTGGGACAACATCCAGGAGCTCCTGGGTCACCCTGTGGAGAAGCCTGTTGTCCTTCACAGGTGAGTGTGGGGGGTTATTATCTCTGGCCACCCTGTCAGAAGGCCTAAGGAAGCCTAGCAGTGGATATTGCTTAGAAATAAATGATAAACATGTGCATACTTCCTTCCCCAACTCTGTGCATTAATACTAGGCCTACTATTGCGTGTTTTCCTGTACCAGAGAGGTTGCCTAATAGGAATAGCTTCTCCCCTCCTCCACCTACCTCCAGATAGGAGAGCCTTTTCACCCCTAGTTATTCAGAAAGGGAGGCAGTTATGACCAGCTGCCCTAGGATCTTATCATTTCCATCAAAGCTGCTACTAGCTGTAGTCCACAGCCCAACCCAGTACCTGGTTGTCATGCTGCCTGAGGCTCTCTGCCTCCTGACTTCTCACAACCCCAGTTCACTTCCATAGTAACTTTTTGTGCCATGTTAGGCTTATTGAGGCCAATTGCTACCTCCAAGACCTCAAGGGCCTGTGTGGGACTTATAGACCACTTGCTAATAGCCCCCATCCCAAAAGGGACTGTTGGCCGGGCCTTGGCCTGCCCCTCTAATTCTGGCTTCCCCGGCCTCAGGTCCTCCTCCCCAAACAACACCAACCCATTTGGCTCCACATTCTGCTTTGGTCTTCAGCGGATGATCTTTGAGGTAAGCCCTGGGGACTGAGGGGTTGGTGTTCTGGCAGGGAGAGGCAAGTCATTGAGAGAGATCAGGGAGGACCTAAAGGCCCTGCTGGGCAGATTAATCCTTCCCCTACAACTCTGCTGAGAACTTGGCCTCTCCAATTTAACAGTGAGGGTTCAGAAATTATGTTAGAGAAATTCAGGGTCAGGTAAGCTAAAGCCAATAATAAGATGAGAGGTAACGGGAATCCCAATACCTAAAACCAGCACATCAGGGAAAGGAACCACAGGGCAAGAGGGACTCAAATGGCTGTAGAGGGGGACCCATTGGCTTGGGAGAAGAATGGGCTGCCCTGTTTTCTCTTCTGGGTGTCATAACCTTCAGCAGGCCCCTGAAGAGTTCCAGAAGAACTGGACAAATAGGTGTGGTGGAGTATATGTATCCCATGAGGCTCAGGCAGACGCTAGGGCAGAAATGATGCCTAACATGAGATAAGGGATGTTGAGGGATTGGCCCAGTCCTGTGCAGTTGTGTTGTACACACAACCTCCACGCCCATTTACAGGGCCTTCTTTGGGTCCTTTCTCTGCCATCTGAGCCCCAGTGCTAACCCCACTGGTGGTTTTTGTGGGTCTGATTGCTTGCTCTGCTCCGTCCCTTTGACTTGCTGTCCTCTTCTCACATCAGGTTATGCAGAATAACCACATTGCCTCGGTGACCCTGTATGGCCCCCCCAGGCCTGGTGCCCATCTGAAAACAGCAGAGCTCCCCTAGGGACATCACCACCCATGCCCCTCTCCCCCGTGGAACTGTGCATCACATCCTCCTCAGCGGGTCTTCATGTGCCACCTGTGGGTTTTCTTGGACATCTTGCCAGTGTTGAAGGGCTGTTGTGATGTTCTGAGATGAGGCTCAGGCTGGGTGCTCTGCCATGAGATGAGAGACCCAGGTATTAGTCTGTCCGTCCTCAGCCTGCTGGTGCCAACAGGGGACACAGACTGCAAAGAGAAGCACAAATTCTGAGCCTTGATACCTGAACCCAGGAGCTTTTGGCTAACACTTAAGGAGGCAGGGTTCTGTCTCCTCTATCCACACACATTGGAAAACTTGGGACTCTGTGGCTGAGAACGCAGGCACCCAGGACGAGGACATGGTCCTGCATTTGGCCCAGCATTGCCACATGACCCTTAAGGCAAGCAGGTAGCACATCCTTAGGACTTGGTTGCAACTTTTGCACTACATCCACTTTAGTTACTTGATGAGCTGGCTGTTGCCAAGGTGGCCCACCTGCCCTTCCTTGTTCGTTTCTTGCACGCGATCCCTGCCAGAACCAGTAGGCACACCCAACTGGTTGAAACAGCTTTCTTCCATCCAGGTACGTGCCCAGGCCTGGTTCCCACCCTTCTTAGAGCCAGCCTTCAACGTTGCCTCTGCCCCGCTATGCCCCAACCTGGCTGGCAGGGCTGCATGTTTCCATCCTTTTTGCCTCTTTTATTTAATGCCAAAGTTTTAGCCAAAGACATCTTCCTCCTTTGTTGTGTTTCAGCATTCTGTTCTGCACTGTGGGCTGGCTCCCCTGCCCCAATCCTGGGCAGTGTCCCCTGGCTGGGCCCATTCATGGCTCAGGCTTTGGGGACTCAAGGAGGGCTGAGCTGTTCAGCCTCTTCATGGGTCTTGCTAAGGAAAGTAGCATATGTGCTTTAAAAATATTAACCTTTTGAAAAGAATTGAGAAGAGAAATGTATAATTTTATCCCATTTTTAATATTTTGGTCTAGCAACTTGTGATACATAGATGACAATTTTGTGAGTTTTTCAAATGTGTGTACAGATTTTTGTAAATATGACTTTTGTAATTAACTCATGTACAGCCTCATCCTGTATAGTTTAACGATGAATGTGCAGGGGACCTGCCCCAGGTTCCTATATGATTCCTGGGCCTACATCCAGGCTTGTGTGGCGCTCTTGTGACTTTGTGACTGACTGGTGTCTTCCCATTTGGACTGTGGCCTGGCCAGAGACACCACCCCAACCCCCACTCCACACATCCCCACTGTTGGGTCAGCCAGGACTGATCTCATCCTCCTGGAATGGGGGAACCTTCCTCATGTCCTGCCCACACCTCCAATAAAGACCTATGCCCTCAGCAATGGCTCACCACGTGCTGTTGCTGGGATGTTTGTACTAAAATAAGTGCGGGGTCATTGACTTCTTTTTTTAGAATGTGGGAAATGTATAGTGGAGTCATCTTAGAAGAGGTTCCTTGGCTCCTCTGAAGGGGCAATACTGCCTCCAGGAGATTGCCCTAGTTGTGTGGGTATAGGTTAGTTGGAGGTGGGGAAAGACTGAGTTGTCCCTGTGTGTCTCGATCCCTGCTGTTGCAACCAAACCAGGGCCCAGGAAGGGGGTGTCTCCTCAAAAGGAGATCTAAAGATTGACAAGGCTGAAAATACAATTTGGAGGGACAGGTGGGAAACAAAACGCCTACTTTCGGATTGAGTTTTAATGGAATGTCTGCCAGTTCCATGAAGGCTGAAGCCAGATCCCCACCTCCTTGTGGGATGTAGCTATGAGAAAGGCCTGTATGTGTGCATCCTCAGGGTTTCAAACCAAGTTGTGTGGTCAGAGTCCATGAGTCCCTGCCACTTCTCCCGACACACACCCACACTCCCACACACCCCATCCCCCCTCCCCCTCAAAGGTTTGTCATTAGATGGTTCCAGATCAGCTCCCAAGTAGGGGGACAGGAACCAAACTCAATCTTCATTCCCTGGAACCCTGAGGAAGCAGACATGTGACACCAGCTGGTTCCTGAACTCTTATGCCCTTTTTGGGGAAGAACCACATACCCTGCAATAATCCACCTGGGAAACTCGTCTCTTCTACATCCTGGATCTGAATGAGGGGAGCTTTGGGCTGTGACATGTTACTACGGCCCCCACTGGAAGGGGCCAGCAGCTACAGGCTGTGGATGTGCACAGGCTGACCCAGGCGGACCATGAAGTAGGTGCCACATTAGCCAGATGTCAGCGGCTGATAGTCCATGCACTACAACTAGCTCACGGTAAAAGCAGGGGTCAAAGGTGCGCAGGTGCGGCGCAGCTGAAGGTTGGGGTATGCCAAAGGTGCGGAAAGCAGGATGAGGCTCAGGTGTGAGCCGAAGGCGCTGCAGACACATCCCCAGAAAGACATCGTCTATAGGGAAGAGCTCCACCTGGGCGCAGGCACCGGCTAGGCGGCGGAGCGTGGCCCCCGAAAGCACGAAGCCGCCTCCGCCAGCGTAGGCCGGGTAGGCCGGCAGGCCATACACAGCCTCGGGAATGTAGTACTTGCTGGCTCGCGCCCGGATTGGCCGTGCCTGTACGATCACGTCACCCACAAGCAGGTCCTGCGCCGGGTCCCGCGCCGCCAGGAACTCCAGCAGGTTTCCCACGTGCATGAAAACGTCTGCGTCGCCCTTAAAAACGAAGCGTACGTTGGGGCAGTAGGCTGAGGCCCAGGCCAGAAAGTGGATCTCCTTGAGCGTTAGGTTGAAGAAGGTGTCGTCGAAGGCCCAAAGCAGGATGTCTGTGTAGGTGCGGCTCTCAGCACGCAGTAGGGCGCGCCAGCGCGCTTGCGAGCCTGTCCCCTCCGCCTCAGTTGGGTCTGAGCCTGCGCCCTTGGGCACGCCCAGCAAAAACACGCGGCGCACGAGCGCCCCTTGCACGCGACCCTCCGCCCCCCACGTCTGGCGCACAGCTTGGCGCCGCTCAAAGTCGGCCGCCACTGACTTGACGGCGATGAGTAGGTCGGGTCCTGCGCCGGGTGCGCCATCGCCTCGGCACTTGTGCGGCTGGTTAATGAGCAGGGGGAAGCGTCGCTGGTCCTTGGCACGCAGGTATCCGCGAAAGTCAAAGGGTCCCGTGGGCGTGGGCGGCTCCGGCGTGTCCTCTTCATAGACCTGCAGGGCTGCGCCCGCGTCCGGCGCCTGGAATACACGGAGCCGGGGGGTGGGCCCCCGCGCTGCCCTCCCTTGCGCTCGCGGCGCTCTGGTGGTGGGAGCTCTGCCATCGCGCTGCGCATAGAGCAGGAGGCTGAGGGCGGCGCCCAGGATCAGCGTGAGCAACGCGTCCCCACGTAGGCGCAGCCTCCACCTCATGTCCGCGTGGCCGGCGCCCGCGCCCCCTGCGGAGAAACTCTGTCAGGGTTCCCGGCCCCGCCCTCCCCGAGGGGAGGCGGCTGGAGGCCACCCGCCAGGGTTCCCCAACTACCGGCGGTTCATCCCCCTCCTCTGGGCTCCGTTACTCCCCTCATCCCCCACCCCGATCGGGATGGCACCCTGAAAGGGCAAGGAGTCTTCCAAGCAGCCAACTCCCACCCCTCAACTTCAGCCCTGGAAGGGGCTCCAAGGCCGGGCAGGGAGAAACAGCCTCAGCCCCAGCCCCACCCGCCTTCCCTGCGCTGCGGCCGAGTCCCTTCTACTCCTCTCTACTCACCACGTCGGTCCCTGTGATGTGGACACTCACACGCTTGGCCCTTGGGAGCGGCAGGGCCCCGGACGCCGGGGCCTCCTTGGCTCAGCGCAGGGCCCCAAGGGCGGCCATGGACCCGCCTGGGCCAGATGCAGCGTTGGCAGGAAGGGGGGCTGGGGCTGCTACCACGTGACCCTCCAGCTGTGCGCGCGGACAGCTGGAGTTCAGCTCCACCCAGGCGACTCGGGGAGTGCTGTCTCCGAGTGGGGACTAATCTCAGAGAGGGATCCTAACAGGCAACTCTAAGAATTCCCGGAGAGGTGGGTTCTGGTCTGGATACAGGCTCAAGCTCCCCAATTCTGCTTTTCGGGGGGGCGGGGGCAGGAAAAAGCAGCCTCAGGTCTTTTGGAATTCAGTCCAGGACTCTTTCCTCTGTCCTCCCTTGCCTCTCTCCCCATCCATCCACTGGAACACATTGCCTCTGAAGAGACAGACTTAAGTGCTCACCTGTGAAATTAATTTATTAAAAACACAGGCCAACCCTGTGTGTTTTTTTCCATCCATTAATTTCACAGGTAAGCACTTGTCTGTCTCTTCAGAGGCAATTCTGAGTCCCCTGGTCCCTAATACCCCAGGCCAGCATAGCCTCCAGGTAGAAATAACCAAGCCTGGGCCACTGCAGGCCAGATTGGGGAACTCCGGAAGTAGGCCAGCGAGCAAAGGGTTTGATCTGGAGCCCAGGTGGGCAGAGAGGTACTATGGAGACTGAGGGCCCAGTCCTTGCCTAGCTCTGCTGCCAGCTCCCTCTTCCTGGAACTCAGTCTCAGAGGAGCCTGGAGTAGACAGTCCTGTCCACCCCACCCCACCCCACTCCAGAGTTTGAGGACAGGCTATGGAAACCAGCACCGCTACCCAGCGCCATCCTCCTTCCAGTGGCTATGCCTGCTCCTGACATCTTACCACCAATGTTCTCCCTTCAAAAGCAAGCCCTGCCTCCTGAGCCTCACTTTCCTGTTCACAGACCTCTCAGGTGTCTGCTACTGCTTCTTCCACCGCCTCACCTCCCGGCCCCCCTGTGGTCTGGCTTCAGGCTGTACCCACCATGTCCTAGAAATACCTCCCACTCAGGAGCCTTTTCCTTGACTGATCTGCAGCCTCCGTACACCAGGTGGGTATTCCCCTGGCTTCCAACTCTACTTTTTCTTTGCTCTTTGGGGGGCTCCTTTTCTGGTCAGTGTCGTTTAGGACCTCCCCCTGGGCCACCCCACCCACTCCGCTCTGTCCATTGGTGCATCTTTAGCCTTGACCCTCTGCTGAACTCAAAACTAAAGATCCAGCTGTCCTTAGACTCTCCCTGAATGTTCTACAGGGAACATCATGCCCAACTTGTTCCAAACAGAGCAAGCACTTCACCTCCTCCAGGCCCACCCGTATCTCAGCAGAAGCCTCACCTTTAATCCAACTTCAAAGACAGAAACTCTGGGGTCCTCTCTCACCTCACTCCTTATCCAGTGTCACCAGGCCTGTTATCCTTTGTCTAAAACAACTCTCAGTGTTCATCCCTTCCCTCCATCTCTGCTACCACTGTCCCAGCCTGGGCTTCTCGCTCTCTCCATCCTCACCAGCCACCCAGCCTCCATTCCTGAAACCCTTGCTTCTCACTGACCTCGGGATAAAACCAAACTCTGTAAAATATGGCTTCCCAGACCCCCTGCTATCTACCTCCCCCACTCACCAGCCGGTCTCTGCAAATCCACCCACCCCTAGGTCCAGACACTCAAACTTCCTGTTCTTGGAACATCTTTCCCTCTTTCCTCCCTCAAGACCTCACCTGAAGCTGGCTATGCCCAGGACATTGCCATTCTCTCACCCCCACCCCCCACCCCCATACACACTCCCTTATTCACACTCATATCGCTCCCCATACACCCTCCCTTATTCACACTCATATCGCTCCCAGGAAGCCTAAGCCCTAATCTGGGTTAGGCCCCTGCTCAGTGCTCCCACAATTCCTTGTATTTTTTCACATCAAGAACCAGGTACCATGCCGTGGCTGGGTAGCTCAAATGAGTGTCATCCCGATAAGCCAAGGTTGCAGGCTCCATCCTTAGGGCACATACAAGCAGCAACCAATGAATGCATAAATGGGTGGACCAACAAATTGATGTTTCTCTCTCTTCCTTCCTCTTTCCCTCAAATCAAAAAATTAAATATTAAAAAAGAGAAACAGGTAACATTTTATTACTGTTGCTTAGTACTTGGAGTCCCATATTGAGTGTGAATTGGGAGCTGTCTTGTTCACCAAAGTATTTGTAGCACCCAGGATGATGCCTAAAACAACAGCAGGTGCCTAATGAGTGATTGTGCAATGAGAGAAGAGGTAAGGGCTGGCCAAAAGCCCTCCTTCTGGGACAGGTGAGGTGAGGCCAACCTCTGCAGCAGATCACCCCCACACTCTATCCCTATCATAGTATCTGGGGCGGAATCCCCAATGGCACCCCAGCAGGCGTGGTGGGTGCCGGTCTGACTCCTGGAGAAGGCAGTCAGTTCTGCCCAGCAGCGCCACTAAGTAGGGTTGTAAGTCCTGTGAATGGACAGGGCAGCCGTAGCAGCAAGAAGGGACCCTAGAGTCATCCAGGTGCTCCAAACCCTGGCTGGGCAACTGGCTGACCGTCCTTGTGTCTGGTGCGCAGCCTAGGCCAGGGCGCTATCGGGATGCGCCAGGCCCAGCAAGTCCTCTGCCAAGCTGGTGAGCTCGTTCTCCTCGAGCGCCTCCACCAGGCGCTGCAGCGTGGCGCGGCGGCCCTCGGCCTGCACGAAGCGCCTCAGTAGCTGGAAAGCTTGCTCGTACAACCCCTCGCGCTCGTACTCATAGGCCAGGGAGTCGAGCACTGGGTCCCTCAGTGCGCGACAGCCACGCTGCAGGGAGCGTCCAACCTTGCGCCATTTGAGGCCCACTGAGCGCGCAAACGTCTGCTGGTCCTGCAGGCTTATTGGCCGGTTCACT